CCGGCCCCTTTTTTCCTTTTTTATTTTTGTTATTCCTTTCATTGACTTCAGCACCATAAACTTGCCCAGTATTATTTTCTAAACCCAGATTGCTTTCATTGAACTTGTTTCTCTTGTTTCCCTCTAAAATTCCTTTTTGTTGTTAATTATATAAAATAGAACTACTATCAGTTGTTATCTCTAAAGTCATAGGAGAGAGCTTTGCACAGTGGCAGTATCGTAGCCAATGAGGTTTGTCCGAGGTGCCATTATTGCTAATTAAAGTCATAGGAGAAAAAATAAGAGGCTGTCCATTAACGCTGCTATTGGTTAGAGGATAAGAAAGACACAGGTGCACTGAAGTATGCTAAAGTGTCCAGTTGTCAGCACTTCTTCATGGGATTAGATCTAGAATGCTCTGGAACACTGACCAACCGTTCTATTGGAAAGTTAAGTCTTACTGAGTTCAACAGACACTGACGTCTGCATTGGGAAGAGAGAATAAGAGCAGCTGCTCAAATAAGAAACCAGATGACAAAGGCATTGTAATTTTGTGATGTGCCCCAAACACTTGGAGCTGTTTTAACCACTAATCCTGGCAAACACAACACCAGTGATGAAATGCTGGGAACACTGGCTATTACGTCTTCACATACACACACATGCAGATGCAAATGCAAATAAAAATAAATAAAATTAAAGGGAGGTGGTAAGGAAAGAGTAAAAGCTATTATGGGGGCTTGAAATTAAAGCTCTATTGTTTCAACAGGAAAGAAGAATAAGCTACGAGTTTACTATCTTTCATGGTTAAGAAATAGAATACTTCACAATGACCCAGAAGTAGAAAAGAAACAAGGCTGGATCACTGTTGGGGACTTGGAAGGCTNCACAATGACCCAGAAGTAGAAAAGAAACAAGGCTGGATCACTGTTGGGGACTTGGAAGGCTGTATACATTACAAAGTTGGTAAGTCTCAAGACACAGAATCGTAAGTTTCGTCTGTTTACACAATCAGAATTATTCAGTTAAGTTTCATTCTGTTTTTTCTATCAGATATTGATGATGCATGTGTAACCAATTTAAATTGTTGCTGGAAGCTTAAGTATACTTGCATTATTTCCAAAAAATGATTGATGAATTTCGAAAAGTACATTCAGAATCTAGTCCTAGGCCTCGGTTTGAACATTTATATCTACTTCCTCCCAAAGACCCATTAAAATGACAATAAAAGAATTAAATAAACCTACAAGGACAAAAAGACCAAGAGAAGGGAAGCCAGCAAACAAGTGTATGTACAATTGAACAGGAGCAGTTGAGTGACTAGGAACAGACTTAGCCGACCAGGAAATTCTGAATTCTAAATCTGCAGGGAGGAAAATCACAGAAATCAATCC